TTGTATGTACTGCGTTTGTGCTGGTTTGTGCCGTTAAAACTGTCCTTTGTGCTGCTTTAGTTTCCGAGATATTAATGTTGTTTACATGGTCACGTGACACCAGCGTGAAGTTAGCCCCCCCCATTTGTGTCTGATTTCCACCAAACCGATCGCAATCGTATGTACTGCGTTTGTGCTGGTTTGTGCCGGTAAAACTGTCCTTTATGCTGCTTTAGTTTCTGAGATATTAATGTTTGTATGTAATGTAATGGCCATGTAAACAACATTAATATCTCGGTTTGGTTGAAATCTGAAACATATGGGGGGCCAACTTCACGCAGGTAGAAAACCGTACTTGAGGCATCCTGGAGGAAAGCACCCTCTGCACGTGCCTGATAACAATGTACAATTCAACTGAAAAACAAACAAAGCTGTTAAGGGAAAAATATAAAAAAATAAAAACATACTATACACTGGTTTTATATATGTGTGCACTTTATTTTCATTTTATGTTACCAAATAAGACAGCAATTATGCTCAGAATTCCAGCACATGCCCATTTCTCCAGAGTTTAACCAAAGCCACCGAAAAGCCCCACCCGTGAATACAAAGCCATACGAAAGACATATCAGTTCAGTTTTAATTAATCAAGGTTCATTCAAGACAGACTTGCATAGTCTCACTTAGTGCGCACACCCGCGATATTTAAGAAGCCCAAATAAATGGATGAACGATAGATCGACTAAATGAGTCGGAAAGCCTGTAAAACGAGAGCGGTGTTTCCGCTGCAGAATAAACGCTGCTGATGGAGCTGTATGAAAAATACAAAGATGTTAAAAAAAAGGCAATACTGTGGCCATAAACACAGCCAGGGAGTTGGTTTGGGAATGAATTGCAGACAGAATAAATGCGTAAGTTACGTAAATGTTATTAGGGCTTAGTATAGTGGCATGGTGGTACAGTGGTTTATGCTGTCGCCTTATAATGTGAAAGTTGCTGGTTCGATCCCCATAGCCAACGGGAAATAAACAGGGAAACTGGTGGAGATAAAATGACTATGATGAATAGCTCACATGGGTTTTTACCAGTTTAAAAATAGGTTCATCGATATCTTCAGATATATGAAGATGCGCACTGAATACATCTGAATGTATGTGATTCAGTCAAGTTGTAACAAAAAGTTAGACTTGGCATTTCAAGTTAAGTTGGTCAAAAAACTAATGTCTAGTGGCAAGTCAAATATATGGTTTTAGGGTCTAATAAGCTGCTTTCAAAAACTTTACTAAAAGCAAGCAAGCCACTCCTTGTCTGTGTCAGAATGAGAAATCAAATATCCAGATGTCTTTAGTCCATTTTGCATGCATCTTGTTTTGAATGCTGGTATGACTATTCGTAAAGACAGTACATTTGTAATATATATGCTGGATTTGTAATTGTTTTTTCCTCATATAGCCTAGCTATGCATCCATCTTCCAACTGCATATCCTGCGCATGGATGCCCCTGGAGCCTATTAACTGCAGCACAAGACACAGGCCAGGGGTGGGATGACAGTCCATCGCAGGGTGCCGATACAACTATAAAACTAAGGACCATTTAGTGCTGCTAATTGTTCTAATGGCATGATTTTTTTTGAGCGCGGGTAGAAATCTAAACTACTCGGAGGAAATCTTCTTTACATTTCTTGTATTTGAAACACTCGGAAAATAAATATAAACTATGTATTCGCGTTACTTTATTAATACGTGAGGTATTAAAGCGATATACCACTGAATCTGATTTGTCATAAATTAATTCCTGATGTTTACGGCAGCTAAAATAACAACCATTTTTTATCTGGAGTACAGCTAAATATTGATTCACTAACAGTTTTAGTAAAATAACGATTAAAAACCTGTTAGATCCCAATAAATCGTGCGCGTTTCTTGTGTAATCAATTGTCCGCCTCACAAGAAGCCTGCATATATTTTTAAATAGACTTTGCCGGTCTGTCTCTTGGGGTGCGTCAAACTGGAGTTCAAATAAGCTATTACGTAATACGAAGTGACCAAAGGGTGCATCTAAATTCTGTACTTCGGTACTAGATTGATTTTTGGATTGATTATTCTGACTGTTTACGACCTGTACTATTTAAGCGATGGGAAATTAAACCGGCGCAAATTAAGTACATTTCTGCGTTTGGTCTTGGCCATGGCAACGTGTTTCTGAGTAATAGCCGTATATTTGGAAATAGAGTAGAACGAATTTTGTGAATATCTAACAATGCAGCAAATATGGTTCAATAATATTGATATGAACAACATAATATACTATAAACTAAACAAAAACTTTAAACGGAGGTCATCTTGTAAGTATGCATATACTGGCGTGATGACTGCCTTCACGTTAAAAAATTTGCGCATCACAGTATTTTATACGGTAATGCACTGCGTTTGCTTGGAGTACGATTTCATGTATTTCTTTTCGCGGAAGTCGTTTGCTTGTTCTCACCCGTAGTATTACAACGCGCTTAGTTAGCCGTCGAAAAGGTCTCGCAGTTTGTATTTGGCGTCCAAAAGTGCAGCGAGTAAAGCTGATGGAGGACTCCGAGAACGTAAACGCTGGTGACACGTCTACGCGAAGGCGCAAGATGAACGATATGGCAGTTAAAGGTAAGATTTCGCCCCTTAATCCTGAAGTAGTCACAGATAGCCGTGCTTCCCAGGCTAAGAGGAAGAAGGGCGGGCACATTGCCGCATTGATTCTGGCGAGAGGAGGCAGTAAAGGGATCCCCCTTAAGAACATTAAGATGCTGGCCGGGGTGCCCCTCATCGGATGGGTCTTAAGAGCGGCGAGGGATTCCCAGGTGTTTGACAGGTAACTGCGCGATACAAATAATAATAAAAAAAAAATGTGTTGCCGTAAAAAGATTAATGTAAACAGATGCTGTAATGGGTCGTATTAAGCTGACGTCATTGTCCAAGGTACGCATAAATGAAAACGAGGCGGCGGCCTTTTTACCGGGGTGCGAGTGACGACAGCAGGAAGAAACCCCGAAACATAAGTTTCTTCTGTATACCTTAGGATCGTACAAATCAAGGCAAAGAGACCGACGAGCTGCCGGAAGGCTACAGAAATTTGGCTAAAGTCCATCGATCGATCGAAAGAACTTGAACGATGATACTGTCAAGAAGTGGCACGTTCTGAGAATGGGCAGTATTTCAGTTAAATGCATTTAAAAATGCGTATTCATTTCCTTTTGAGCATTTTGTAATTTGTATTTTGCTGGACGGAAAAAAAGATGTAGGCTAATTTGAAACAAAATAGATTGAGAGATTGTATTCTGTGTATTTAAAATACTTAATAAAATGCCATTTTAAGAACGTTCATCGCTAGGCTTACAGACTTTTAAATACAGCCTATCGCCATCCTTCGCAGTATTCCAAGGAAAGAAGCTGCTTTGGTGATCGGCGCAAATTGCCGATTAGTATATGCAGTAAAATAGGCATGTATTGCTGACTGAATGTCAGTATAGGACGATTAGCAAACAGCAGTACTGTGCTCTAGAACTTGTAAATTAACTCACTAGCCTGCTAAGTTAATTTCAACAGACATGCTCAGGCAGTGGTTTGTCATATATGGAAACCTTCATTAGCGATAAATCAGGCTAGCTCGTTTTTTTCCTAAGGACGACGTTAATTTCTATCATCTAAACGTGGGAGTTAATTTTATAGCCACAGCTTGTTTAAAAGGGCGAACCGACTGGTGAACTTGACGCTGCATATCATCTGCGTCGCAGTTGCGGATCCCGTTTGTATTTTTGAGTGTATATCTAAATAACAGTTTCTTTGATGTTATGTTCGGCACCTACTGTAAGACAAAGCTGGGAATTCACGCATTATGATCATTTAAGAAAGCGTTACGGCGCCTCATTGCTCATGCATTTACACGTTATGGTTAACTGTGTAGTAGATTGCTTCCTTCAAATGATACGAAGAAATGCCTCAGTCCCATTTGCCTGAACAAAATACAGCTTTTCATAGTCCTGAGCACTCGCTATACATTTAGTTTATATGAAACTTTCTTTAACATTGAAAAGAAATACAGAACTTTATGCATCTGTGAGATGGACGTCTCCGACATTACCTGGTAAAATGGCCGCTACGCACAAATCGTGACGTAATACGCATGTAAACTAATACAACCCATTGCTGACCAACTGTTTATATTGAAGGCGTAGTTAAGATCCTTTTGACGTACCTAAAAGTAAGCTAGATGGCAATACAGTCCCGATCAAAAGTTTAAGACCACTCGAAAAATGGCTTATGCAGTTCAACAACCCGACCACGTCCAAAAAGGGAGAGTTTTTTTGCCTTTGCCATGAATGAATGAATCCACATCTATGCACAGATTTGGCCTTTTAAAGGCATGTGGTCCTAAACTTTTGATCAGCTGTAAAACAGCCTGTTTCAGTTTAAGTGTTGTTTTCAATTAATTGCATGCTCAAAAAAATGTTTTGTCTCGCTCCCATTTCTTCTTTTTGCATGTTGAAGCTCTACTTGGAACCTTGTTAAGATCCAACCATGCAAAATATGTTTTTTTTTTTTTTTTGCCATTTTTCAAGTGGTCTTATACTTTTGATCGGGACTGTATTAAAAGCAATTCGCAGGCTTTCGTTTACTCAAGCATGCTGTACTCAAAATTCGTAAGGTTTGAGATATTAACAAATATGTCCATTTTGTAAAATTTTGTGCCATCTTTAACTGCGATTTCGCATCCACAAAGATGAAGTTTTACTTTATGGATAAATCAATCAAGTAATAACATAAAATATGCGTCTCTGCCAGTGTGTGGGTTTCGACGGACCATGATGAAATTGAAAGAGTGGCAGAAGCATGGGGTGCAACAGTCCACCGCAGATGCCCAGAGGTTTCCAAAGACTCCACAAGTTCCCTGGAAACCATTCAGGAGTTTTCCAGGCTGAATCCAGGTAAGGTATAAATGCAAGAAACATAGAGTTAAGGAGCGCGTGCTGATACCATGTGTTGCTGCACCCAACACACGACAAACCACTTCAGGGATGAAAGCCCGTGTGCAGCCTTGTGGCAGGTGATACCTCAGCTGCACACTAGTTTGAGTGGAATGGAAATGTGAAGTTTTTTCCACTAGTGGCTGGAGTGCCAATCTTGCCACCAACCCCTAAATTTTTCCCTGAAAGTTAGAGAACCTGCTTGCAGAGCTGAATGTAGATTAATGTTTTACCCAGAACTAAGCAATTGCAGGTTAAGGGCCTTGCTCAAGGGCCTAACAGAGTAGAATCACTCCTGGCATTCACAGGATTCAAACCAGCAACCTTCCGATTGCTGGCAGAGATCCCTAGCCTCAGAGCCATCACTCTACTCAAGAAACATAACTGGAATTTTATTGGGAAGACAAAACAATTCCTCTGATTTTTTTTTTCTTTTGTTACCAAATTTTTGATATTTTTACTGTTACATATTGTAGCAAGCATAATTTTGTTTATTTCTTAATGTCAACAATTGTAAAGAGGATGCGTCTTGTGCCTGCAGATGTTGTGTGTCATGTTGCTGACCATTAGAGCTGTCACTATTACTCAGCTAAACTTGATTACCAGATTAAAAAAAAAAAAAAAACATTAATTAAAATTCATCTTCTCGTTTACTCAGCAGTATGGTGGAAGGAAGGTGTGGGTTTAAATATAAACAGAGCAGAAGCCTCAATTATGTGGGAGTACTTCACATTAAAATGAATGAAAATGCAGTTGTCTGTCAATACTGTAAAGCATGACTTGAATATAACAGCATGACTACAGTGCAACATCTTGAAAGAAGACATCCACAGATTCCCCCAGTAATGCGTGGTTAGCCATAGACAACTATGAACTATATGCCCTATAGCCTCTTGGAGTAGCCTAGCCTATCTTTGTCATCATTGTGATTTGAATTATTTAGCTTAATTTACTTTCTACAATTCCTGTATTCAGTAACTTGAGATAAAGACTGGGCTCCTTTAGCACTGTGTCTCTTTAGAGATTCCTTGGGTACTGCTGGTTTGACTTTGTCTTGAATTAGCGATTGCTCAGGGAGTCCCGAATGAGGCACCTGCATTGTGAGGGATTGTTAGTTACAGCCCTACGGCCATGTGGTGTGATTTCCTGAGGGGGATCCAGTTATCAGGATCCTCATTGCTGAGGACCCAAGCAGCTGGACCAGGCCAAGGGGACGCCCACATAACACCTGACTGCGGCAGATAGGCATTTCCTTTGGGTGGGATTGGACTGTGGTTTGTTGTGTGGTGGGCACGGCAATGCTCTGTAGCAGTGCATGCTCCTAACCTGACCTGAATTCCTGTATATTAGGATAACTGCTGCTAAATCAAGGATTAGCTCTGTTGCTTTGACATTTAAAATTACATACAATAGAATACATAAATATATCTGACAGCTGTGTATAATTTTATTCTTTATTTATTGTGAACAAATGTGTATTAAGTAGGGCTGAGTGATATTGGAAATATGTCACATTGTGATATTTGAACATTTTTCATGGGTTTACACTGCATTCTCCATTTTCCTCCCACAGTCCAAAACATGCAACTTAAGTTAATTGGAGTACCTAAATAGATCCTATATATGAGTGAGTGAATGTGCACCCTCTGATGGTTGCCAGTTCCAATATATAGTAGTATCTTGTATATTCATATATTATATATAAACAATTACTCTATTAATCATCAAATTAATAGTGACAGCCCTAGTTGACATGATATGTTGGTGTCATTCAAGCAAAAGTGACCTTGTAACAAAAGCTGTTTCTAATCATTCACTAGATTTGTTTGAGCAATAATAAAAATATGATGTATTAGATCTCGTCATAAAACCTTATTTTATTTTAAGGCTTAAAGTCTATGGGGATGTGGCTCAGCTGGTTAGAATCCTGTGTCAGTAATCAGAAAATCACAGGTTAGATTTCCAAAATGCTTTTGATGTTGTCCCCCACAAGAGGCTCTTACTTAAACTCAAAGCGACAGGTATTT